ACCGCTCTATAGGTGCAAACCCTTGTAATCGACAAACCGTACTCAGTGTCATATCACGGGTTCAAAATTACTATGGTTGATCATTTAGCTTGCAATAATTGATAGTCATTGGTTTATTTTATATTTAAATAACACTGAGATGTATAAATGGATAGCTATTGCTTCGAAATAGCAGCTTTTTTGTATTGTTGTCAGACTTAATAGTGCCTGTTGATGTGAGCCAATCAAATAGACGCTAATACCATGTAGCCCGTCCATTTATAGAGGTCAGTAATAAATAAGTTAATAAAAATAAACAGGGACATAAAATAATTACGTGCCGTTCTTACTTTACTATTGTCTAGTTAAATCTACTTTACAAGTTTGAATACAATTTGAATTTGTATCAAACCTATATTTATGTAGCGAAGAAAAATTGACAAAATCCAATAGAAAATCATAGTACAATTAATAACAATGCATGCAATGCAATACAAATTATACTATTAAGCTTAAAAATAATTAATAAGGTACTGGCATATGCAAGTGTTACTTTTGTAATAATTTTAATAATGCTATTCATAATAAATATCATAAAGATGTAAAAAATTGAAGATAAATCGTTTTATATTATGTCACAATTGTCATCACAAATCTTACAAGAGGTGCCAAATGTAATATTAATTATACTTAAATATATCCTGTAAATATTGTGCAAGTGTATTTTATATGTATTTGCAACAGAAGAAAATGTTTGGAAAAATCACATATTTCGATGTTTTTGCTATTAGCGTGACTTTTGCTTTTCGTATTATACAAGTCTATTATTTATTCCTCTCCCATAACAATGTATTAAAACAAAAAGTCAAAACCACTTGGTTTATTTATAAAACATGTTATTGTGTTAAATAATCAATGTAAATTGCTCTTTATGTAACAATTCAAAATTTCCAGTATTTGTAATAGCAAATATGTTTACTATAAGAATAAGTGCTTTAAATTGCTTGTGTACGACAATAAACCGCCTTATTCAAAATACTGTTATACAGCTTTTTTAAATTTTGCGTTAGCTAATTATTAAATAAAAGATAGCAAAACCGTCTTTACAAACGACGTTTTATTTACAATATACATTTGTAGAAAATCATACATTTTAGAAGCTTCTTCTGATGTTTTCCATGATGTTATATGATTTTATGTGTCTCCGATGAAGTCCTCTACAGATGTAATTATCTCAATTTAATTTAGAAAGTATCTTATCATTAACTCTTTCCAAGGAATAGATTGTAATTTTTATTAGAACGCCTGTTATTTCAGTGCCGCAATTACGAAGAACTACTCTATACTGCTATTCATTACCTGAACCATAATATACTGATCCTTCCTTTATTTTTCTTTCTACGAAAGGAATTATAAAAAGCTATTACAACACTTTCAACCGTGGAGCTCTACTATTAACACACCTTAAGACCATTATTGGCATATCAGTTTAATGTGTATTAGTGATGGAAATATTTTTGTAATCTTATTTCTTACTAATATCAGAAATGCAAAAATTTAGATGTTGAACGGATCTCGATGAAATTTGGCATAGCATAGACTGGAAGAACACATATGCTACATACTTTTATTTTTTTTAATTCCTCGCTAACATATTCGCGGTCGAAAGCTAGTAAAAGTACAAAGACAAAGGAAACTAAATATCTGTAAGCAATTATGAGCTATAGGCGACGCTAGCCGAAATTCTAAGCAAAATCTAGAAAGAGTGAGGGGAGCCCTCCCCTTGTTTTCCCCTGGCGATGCGTAATGTGATGAGCTATTGAAAATTTAGCACTATAAATAAAACATTTGATATTTAAACGCAACAATACTAGAACCGGCTTTTTCTTTACAATCCGTTGCTTCGTTGAGACAAGACTCACAGTATTCTCGATAGCCTTTAAAGGAACGGATGTTTTCGGAAAAACCTATGACCAGTTGCGAAGTGCATACAGATAATTACGAATACTTCAAGTTACAATCCAAAGTTATTCTGATATATTAGCAAAACGTTACTGAGAGAAGTTGCCCCGAGACGTGGCTCATAGAAATAAATCAAGGTGAGATATTTATATTTTATTTCAAATAATAACATGTTTTTAAGTTTATTCTGATAATACAAAATACTATATTTTGTATTGTCAGAATAAATTGAAAGTCGAATATGATAAATATCTACAGAAACGTTTTTTCAATAGCTCTTCCGTCTAATTTTTATTCATTATACTCGTACATGTTGTCCCGTAATTAATGGATAATTCTGAAACCTACAGAACGTCGATCAAGGGTTCAGAATAATGTAATAAAAAATAAATTCAGGCGGTTCGTAAAATAAGAAACTTAAAAGAAAAAAACTTTGTTTAATTTTTTTATCATCGACTTACCCTTTGTACCAATTTTTCCTCAACTCATAAATTTTTGCGTTGTAGTTCTAGAATACAGTCATGAATTCAACTGATTCTCTAGATTTTTTATTAACTTCTACCACAAGCAGCATGTTTCTCATGCCTACGTCATTATCGAAAAAACATGTAAGCGTTGATCCAACGAAATTGAGGAAAATAAAACAAGTTTCCTCATTTGAAATCTCAATTTTATTTAATCTCTGTATGCAAAAAATGTATTTAAATTATAGTCTTCATATTTTCCTATACACAAGCATTATTTCTTTGTTCATTGCTATCCCTTTAACTTTTAAAGCCATTTATATTTGCAAATAAGTACAAAGAAAACTTAAGTTTGTGTAACTACTTATTTGTCCTGTTCTACTTATCTTCGTTTAATACCAATGACGCACGACAAAGGGACAATTGCCTCTGATAAACGGATGCATTTGCATCCCAGCTATTAATTTGTTTGGTCCTGTAGAAAGTTATCTTAGAACATTTCTATACATTTTAATTAGAATATGTTAATTGCAAATAAATTGGCACAAGAACATTCTTTCAATAACATTAAAGTTTCGTAGTTACAACTTAAAATACTATGGTAAGTATAAATGTATATTTCACAATTACATATCGTATGGTTACGTTCAAAACATTATAATATAATGAGTCTATTCTAATGATCTGAGTAATTCAATCTTTGTTTCATTTACCATTGATTTTCATAACAAATTTTAAGAGTAAAAATAGAAATGATTCCTTCCTAGAAGAAACAGTAAAGATTTTAGCAGAAATAATGTCAACATCACTTATTATTATGGCAGTCAAATAAATAAAAAAAAAAAACTAAGACAAAAAAATAATTTTGCACATCATTGTGTATATGACAGATATTCAAATCTAGACTTAGCAATGCTTAACTATAGTTTGAAACTTATTTTGTGTTTCCAGATGGCTTTTAACATTGTTGCAAATTTACTTGTAACAATGTGTGTTACCATAACAACTGCTACAGCATGGAACATTCCTGATGAATCTGTCCAGCTCAAAAGCATATCAAGCCAAATCCAAAACTTGAAAAGTTTGCTAAACCAGCCAAATAGACCATCATATAAATATAACTATGGATCACTAGTGCCTTGGGATAACAATAACATGAATTCTGATTACGAAAGATACTTAAGACAACAGTATATACTACCAATACTTAATTCATTAAGTGAGGTCTCAGAACAAATTATCAAAAACATCAAAGACAAAACACAACGGGAAAGTGTTAACATACCTTATCCAATGAATTATTATCCACCTAGGTTTAATTTTGGAGATATCGGGGATAAATCTTCAACATTTAACGCTCCTTTCGGTACAGTTAGTGGTTGGGGTATTGCTTCATATGGAGAGTCCCAAAGTCAAAACAGTCAAAACGGTGGAAGCAGTTACAGTAGCGATGCAAATCCATTGTCAATAGGTTCTTCGTCTTACGGTGGATTTGGTTCATTTACGCCTATAACATCTGAGTCACAAGGCCCGTTTTCCGGAGATAGTTCAGGGCCACCAGTTATCCCTTCAAGATTTCCATCAATCTCAAATCGAAGACCGGCAGATTTCGACGATAATCGAAATTGGGGGATCGTTTTAGACGACAAAGATGATAAAGCACTAACTACACCTAAGCCACATCAAGAGTGCGACTGTGAAGAACAAGTAAGTACAAAATATAAACATTATATTAGCGGTGAAAGTATGGATAAATTGTATGAAAAAGAATATAAGAGGGGAGTGATTTGAGATATGACGGCTGAGACGTAAGGCAGAGTCAAAACATACTGCGTCGACCTTTCGTAGGGAGAACACCAGTATGGTGAATAAAATGTTATTCATATGATACGAAATAATGAACTAAAGTTTATTTTTATCTTTATCTTGTATGAGTTTTCAAATCGCTGATATCGATTTGAAATTAATAATAACGAAAAAGAAACAGACACCACATTTAATAGTAATAACATTATTTACATAGCAACATGTACCCCGTTTCCGCTGTTATTTTTATTATTTAAAAAAAGGTATCAAATGCCAATAAATTAAAACCATGACTTTTATTGTTCTAGAACAAAAACATAACATCTTTAGCAATCAAGTTGAAGATGAGGAGTGCAGAAACAAGTCCCGGGACTTGCAAAGCTGTTATTTTGCTTTGCTGCGTCCCCGGGAATAACGAGGAGCGCCGTAAGGAATGTTTCACGGAACAGGGATGTCCTCGAAGCTATTCCACGGGAATCGCGTGCCTGCCTGTTGTTATCCAAGCTGTCTTTAAAGATATATACGGAAATATTTAGAGAAGATGATTTTTATCAGCTCCGTCAAGATATTGTACTTCAACATACTAATACGATCATGATTAAAACATTATATTAGGCAGTTTTCAAACATGATTTAGAATTTACATGATTGTTTTATTGATCACCAAACCACATCACTGAGGCTGGTTTTCACCAGCGCGGCCTTCAGAGACAAGCTGGAGGCCGCATCAGCTGAGCCTTCTCCTTTTGGCCAAGATTTTTTGTCTTTATTTTTATTTCGGTAATATGATTTGTAAGTTGAGTTCTTTTCATTTTTTGGTCAATAAATAGTGTTTTATTTTATTTATTTATTTATCACCGATCACTGGTAAACGCTAACTTCCTCAGGACATAAACTTGACAGTAAATGGAATAATGTTTTCATGTCAATTCAAGTGTCAGGCTTACTCAACTTGCCTCGGTAGGTGTTACAGAATATAATATCGACCTCGCTATTTGTATGCCAATTAGAATTTACATTTTCCTGTAGCTGGCACATGCTAGTAGCATGCATGCAAATGAGCCAACCACTGGCATGTGTGATCACATCTATTCCATCACACTTCCTTTTCCATTGCATTTCCTTACTGTTAAATGTCCCCTGGTCATTTACGTGACTCCTAAATAACAAGATAATGAGTAAAAGACGATTAGACTATGGTCTCAGACGAAAAGATAGCAATTCATCTTTTGTACCAAATTAATCAGGTTGGTATTGAAATAATACTGTAGTCAGATGACATTAGGGTAATGTGCGGTTGGTCGACTTTCCAGAGGACTGGACAGAAAGGAGCGCTACAGGTCTGCGAATTACATAGTCTAACGTAACCGTGTTTACACTCCCCCTCCTTCTGGTACTACCAGTAGTAGTAGGCGCTAGTTCTACTAAAACCTTTTCTAAAAAACAAGGCTCAATTCCACAAAACGCCTGACGTTTTAGTGCGGCAATAACACAATAAACCTGAGTATATTGGTATTGAAAGTACGCAATACACTCTTACTGAAATTTGGAGTTTCGAACTTCTGTAATACAAATTGGATTGATAAACTTTTTTTTATAATTCCAGATACGATAATGTGTACAGCCAACAATCTATTACTTATGACAAAAGCGCATATAAGCGGCCATTTTTCTCCATCTCACGTACAAATCTGCATGTCTTGTCTACAACTGGTTGCGTATAACTTTTTAGTTTTAGTGCCAATCGAATCTGTTTAGAGTACGCGCGTGTTATGGTCTTGATGTGTGAATTCTGCTAGTAAATTACATTTTGGAATTAAAACGATTCAAAACAACGTGTCGTAGGAAATATTTACATTAAGGACAACATCTCTATAAAGTAAGAGTATATTAAGGTGCGTAATTATTTGTATTGTGTTGATTTTACTTTTAAAAGTTTTTTTTTCACTAGTGTAAAATATGCCAATTATTTGTCAAGGCTCACATTTAAATATTTGTTTAAATCCAGTTTAAAGCGAAGTTAGAAAGATTCTTTTTTATTTACTTCTTAAATATACTGCACATTTCATGCATACATTCTTATATCCATATGTAACTTTAAACTTTAAATCCACAAGGCTTTTACTCGTAAGATAAGTTTCTTTTGTTGATGACATTGTTATAGACAAAGAAATTTAAGAAAAATGTTTTGTGTATAAAATGTTAAGTAGACCTAAGGTCAATGATAAAAACAATAATAAAAAAGTTAGATTATTTTTATCGTAAACTGCAAAACAAAACATAATATATAAAAACATTTTATAAGATCTGTGTTAAGAATGCAATAACAAAATTTATATAAGTTTAAGTAGGGGCTTTAAAAGTAAGGAATAACTCCAATTTTAAAAACTCTTTAAATTACAGATGCAATCAATACTACTAATGAGTTTGTTTGTGAACGTGTTAATGATGAGTAAAGCTGACCATAGCACAAGACATGTTAGACACAGCTATCCACGTGAAACACCAAGACGTCAGCAACGTCAATGGCAATCGACAAATTACAGAAATTACGAGCCTAAACAACATTACTATTCCGGATTTACAAACGCAGTTCGACAAAATACACTTACAGCAGAAATTATTAACTTACTCCATGAATTAAATAATAATCTATCTACGCAAAAACAAAGACAATACTACCAACCAATCTTCGTACCATATCCCGTACCATTGTCGATACCTTCAACTAATTACGGGAAACCAAACGTTGTACCGAACAAACCAGTGCCAGCACTCCCTAGTAGAATAAATTTTATTGACGACGAAAAAGATTACATGAGACCAATAATGTTGAAGCCGGTGACAGCAGCTCCCTTTACAACAACCACAACGAAGATTAGTGACGCTGAAAGTGCTATTGTGAGTAAACTAACGTTATGACCAATTTAACTGTTAATATCAAATTAATGTTAAAAAGTATAGTCCATTAGCTTTAATATACGTAATATTTCGTATTAAACAAATATTTTATCCAGTGTTAGACAAAGATAGCTATAACAACACAAAACAACCGAAGCAGTCCGAAATAAAGGGTCACGGTTCGCTTGCAAGCATAGTACTTGCAACCGGTTTGAACAGAGGGCTAGCAATTATATATACCTATGTATAAATAGCGATTGACTTATATTAAATTATAAAGCCTGCTACACACGCTTCGTTATATCTGATAGTTTTATCTGAACAGTCCGATGATTCAGATAAATACGTTGTTTTGTAGGCAAAATGTATCTGACGATCGGATGAATCGATTGTTCTGAATGATCCTGTAAATTAAAAGTTAGCGTGTGTAGCAGATTTTATAAACATAAATTTCCGTAGTGAGTTTTTACGTCAATTTTCTGTTTTACTGTGATATTTTTGCTATACTTGCCAAATAGGCGCCAAAGTATTCATTTAGTAAAAAATCATCATAACCGAAGTACGTAGTTAACCATAGTGATTGACAATTTCACATTAGAGTCTTATGTAGGCCACACACGTTAGATTTCGTACCTGTATAACTAGTTTTGATCCTACATTAATAACGTATACGCAAACCCGACCGTTTGTTATAAAACTGTACTATGTAATTCGGGTTTTCCTTTTAATTATGGTTACGATAACAATGTAACGGTAAAATAACCGTCAGACAAATACTAACGTGTGTGAACTGCATTAGAACATATTCAAGTAAGAACCTTGTATAACTGTTGAATCGCTAATCAAACCTCACGATTTATCTGACAACTTTCAATTTCGCAGTACTTGAGCTACTAACATAAACTTCCTGTAGCTGTAGCAAAGTAACAATTTAGCCCAGCTTTGCTTGAGTACGAATGTACTTCTTATATGTAATTTCGAAGCCTATTTAATTCACAATACAGATAATACAATACTATACTAGTATAACAAACAAACAATTCTTACCTCTTTTTAAAATTAGTCACTAGACCACAAAGGAAAAGTTATGTAGTATTTTAGTATTCCTTTTTCGATATTATAATCTTTGACCTCAAACGAAGGAGTTTATCAATTCGGATGTTTTCTTTACCACGTAGTTATAATGATATGGTGAGGGCCTGTCCAACCACTGGCTGATAGAAGCTCCGATAGCTTAAAAATATCACTTACACCATGGATTGTTATGAGACAATTTACAATTTGGTGTGACAGGCCCTTAGTATCGTAAATTAAAAGCGTATCAAGAACAATCCAGCAGTTAGCATACAAAGAGAAATGTTGTTGAAAAAGGATAATGAAAAGTTATGTCTATATAATTAATATTAATAAGAGGATAGATTTTTATTTATTTAATTTTAATTTTGAATGGACTATAAATCTACTGGGTCGATTTCAAAAATTCTTTCACCAGTAAAATTGTACATTATCACTGAGTGACGTAGCCTATTTTTTATTTCCGCACAGACAGTCTCCAGAAAATGTTAACAGCTAATAAATATACTTAATCCAATCCTTCTTCACTCTTTGTTCCTGTCATTTTCAGTGAATCATATGTTTTTTATGTATTTACAGGTATTCAAGGATGAAAGTCAAAACGATATCAGAAAACCTTCAAGATGCGAAGCAGCTATTCTAGTTTGTTGTAGATTCGCAGAACCTGATCAAATAAAGTCGTGTTTCGAAGAATATGGCTGTAGTAAAACATATTCTACAAAACTTGCATGCGAGAAAAAATCCATACAAACAGTTATTCAAAGATTCGCCGATATGTTTGGCCCGAAATAATATTTAAATGCCATGTTATTAATGAAAACGAGGCAAGCGACAATTTGAACTTGTAACATTTAATAAATCGCCGTAATGCTAGAACACAAAAACATTTTTGATCATATAAAGTATAAATTACATGTACAACATCAAGATTAAATGTAACAAATTTGGGGATCAAGTGAAAGTCTGCATAATGACATCAGAATAAAATACTATACTATGGCACGTATAGCTGTAGTTCAAAATTGTGTATCAAGTCAACCAACCAATACTAGTGTGGTTGGTTGAGGTCTAGTCACACCTAACGTAAGGTGAGTTTGAGCACCTCACTAAGGACATACGAGCTAACGTAGATGTGTATTTACACTTCGAAGTATGTAGGTATTGCGATATGATATAAACGTACGTTTGACGGCGATTGGAAATACCCACGTTATATTTATCCAACGATTCCGCAAGAGGAAAAATATTTATCGGTTGATGTCGCTCATTATATGTTAAAGAATTATAAAATAAATCACTGATTAGACGGGCGGTTTTATAACGCGCGTAAAATAATGTTGAAATAAACAAATGCATTTCAATGCTTTTGTCACGATAACGCAACACGTTAATGTAATCGTAGCAATAGAGTGGGCGTCCACCTTTAACTATCCTGTCGCATAACTGGTGTACGACAGTCGATTGTTTCATAGCCAATTCAGCATAACTAAAAATCGAGTGATTGTGTGCATCTCCATATAACCTCATAAGAATTAAGGTAACTAAACAGTTGTGCGATGGTTTCAGGTGTGCGCACGCTCTAAACAGACCCCTTTGTGTGCATATGACAAACAGCAATGGACATTTGTCAAACGTGAAGATACTAATTATACCTTGCATGTGTTGTTTTATTTAACCGCAAGTTTTTATCGGCACATCAATATGTAAATGTACTGTGGTTTATTGTTATCTTTTGTATGTGTGATATATTTTATTAAAAATTATTCATCTATTTTAGCTAAGATGTTTCTTATTTTTTAAAGCCAGTTTCACACGAGGCCTAACAATCAGAAGCCGAAGAACAGAAAATTGATTTACGCCGAGACATCTCAGAACTGCTGTTATGTGCGATGGCACATGATGGCATATAAAAAGATGTTTTCATAACACTAAAATATTGCTTTATATTTATTTATACAAATAAAATATCCGAATCAATCATGAATTATAAACAGAGGGACATTTTTAACAAAGTTCCGACGTCACGATGTTTCGACTCGCTAAGCACAAGGTTACATCGAGTTCATTGTTAAAAACTTGTTTTTTTTCCTAGCATGAGCACTTTATTTTAATAAACATAAGAAAATCATCCTCACACCTTTTTTTCGTAAATATACAGTAGTCATACCTATCCTTATTAAGTTTAGGCATTTCATGTAAAATATCGTGTAAAAACCGTTATTGTCAAGGAAAATGATAAAAAATTACTTTAATTATTACATTTAAAACCAAAGTATCTATATATCATACTTCATAATTATATTATTAATGCGAAAGTTTAAAAATGGAAAGATGGATGGATGGATGTTTGTTAGAGTTTGTAGCCTAAAAGGCTGAACGGATTTCGATGAAATTTTGTATAGATGTAGAGGACAGTCTGGAAGAACACATAGGCTACTCACTTTTTTTTTAATCCACGTGGACGGAGCCGCGGGCAAAAGATAGTAATTTACATTTGATTGCAACAATAAAATGCAATTCCATTTAGTAGAAAGGAGCTTCCAACCGGTAAGTTCACTTTGGTGAAATTAAGAAAGGGAACAAATAAGCTGAGATATTTTTTTTAAATGTCACGTTGCTTGCAGTTCGCGTGGTCACATAATAGCAAGCAGTATTTTTATTCACATTCACACTTTAGTAGCGTGTTGTACGTTTAAAAGGAACGACGTATGTTACCACCTTTCACATTCAAATAAATTAAAGAAAGTTTTAACTACAAACGCTGTGAATAAATGATTGGGAGAGTTATTCCGTTTGTTAAGTTTAGTAAAATATTTTAAACAGAGGAATACATTAAGGTATGTAATATCTGTTTATTTACATCGATCGATATTGCATTTAAACCGGTTTAGGCTATGTACGATTAGTTATTAAATAAAGTAGCTTGAAGATTTCGTATTTATTTGTAGAAAGTGAGAATGTTTTACGTAGGGAAACTATCTTGTAAGAGAAAGCTGTGACGTAACTTTAATTTGGATTACAAAGGAATTGATTGAACTAGGAAGAGGAGGCGTTGCCGCTATTTTCCTTTATTCTTATAATAATATTTGATATATAGTATATAATTTTAATCTATAAAACATTGTAAGAAATAATTAAAGCAGTTATTCTTGTCAACTTTACAATTTGACATTTAACAACCTTTAATTTGAACACCTTGAGGTCCTTTCGTTTGGGACCTGTCAATGAAATAATTTTAAGCATGATAGAGACTTCCACGTTATTACTCATAGCACCCACACGGGTTACTATGACTGATCAGGTAAGTCATCACATATCGCCTTATACGTAGCGAATATCAAAACAAAAGCGGGCATACATGGCTCAAATTAATGACGTGATCATCACTATCAATTCTTTAAACGTAATGTACTGTCACCAAATGAATTAATTTGATACATGCTTATTTATATTCCATTACGAAATATCATTTAATAGTTATGTTGTAGATATTTATAGGTATATGTAAGTAAACTTTAATATTAATTACCCGTATAACAAGTTATTCTCAACGTAATCAATTTATAATCAGCACACATAATAAGACTGCATTTTAATAATCTTTAAAACTACGTTTATTAAAGTTTATTTTATTATTTAATCAAATAAAAATAAATATACAAACTAAAATAAATTCTTACTTCACACAGTAATAATTTCCTGACACCCTTATTTGTATAAAAATAATGACTTAACTGATTTTAACATGAAATAATTCAATTACAGATGGTGGTTATCGACAAATTATTATACTTATTAACAAGTTTCTTGGTTGTGTCTAGCAGTCCATATAAGAAATACAACCAAAATTTAACACAAATAGGTTTAAAAATACGACCTGTAAAGGAAACAGTTGAATCCAACATAATATCCGAAAGTCAAGTGAAATACTACAATTCACAGGAAAATCAGGATAACACAACGATAAGAAGAGCTGAACAGGACAAATTTTTACATTACATATGGAATTTAATGGAAATGGTAGGAAATAACTTATCTCCAAGGCCGTCAAATCCACATTTATTTACTACGTTAAAAATTATGTTAATACCAAAAAATCCTTCCGGATCGGGAATAAGCACCACAAATAAACGTCCATATGTGGTTCCAAACCCAGAAAGAACACCCTCCACCACAAAAGCAGTATACACGACCTTAATACCAGTATCCACAACTTCGATACCAGTATCTACGACCTCAAAACCAGTATCTACGACCTCAAAACCAGTATCTACGACAGCAAAATCAGTATCTACGACCACGGAAAGAATATTCACAACCCCACAAGTAATATCTACCACCGAACAATATTACGACGATGAAGACACTGGCAGACCAGTAAAGTTTAAAGATACAAGACTATTTGATTTAGAAAATATGCATAAATTTTCGAGAAAAATGCCAGAAGTCGAACATGGCAGTATCCAATATACAATATAAGGTAACTAAGTCTTTTTTATATATAATTAAATTTAGAAAGGGGAAAGCTATTTTTGTATGAGTTTAAATAACTCAAAAACTACTGGGCCGATTTCAAAAATTCTTTCACCATTAAAAAGCTACGTTATCAGTGAGTAACATATGCTACATTTTTTAGTTTTTTCAATTTCACGCGACAAAGTCGAGAGCAACAGCTAGTTATATTAAATCTTTTGATTGCGACTTAAAAAAAATGAATATGGCCTATGTTAGTGATAACGTGGCTTCCTAATGATGAAAGAATATTTGAAACCAGAAAATACGAACATACAAATCGTTACCTCTTTTTAGTATTAGTATAGATGTAATTAAACCGGAAGTTTAAATTATTTTTATATACAATATATAAAATCATGCTTTTTTTGTCAATGTATTTTCTAGAAAACTATTACTTGCCTAAATTACAATTTAAATTCGATAATTTCATGAACTTTTTAATACCTCTTAAAATTAATAAGAATTATTAAATTACATTACAGGATATTCACAACAGTATTAGTAGAAAATGAACACGTGGGTTTGTATTTCTACAAAAAATATCATTAAAATATTAAATGTAGTTTTGTAATGTAACCTCAACTCAATATAACTACTACGCCAAAGATCTCATTATGACATTTTCATTTCTTACTATCCCCCAATCTATACTAATATTGTAAAGACGAAAGATTTGTATGTATTGAAAGTATTCAAAAACTAATGGGCCTATTTCAAAAATTCACCGTTAAAAAACTACATTATTAATGAGTACCATAGACTATATATTTTTTTCAAGTTTCACGTGGGCGAAGTCGCGTGCAATACCTAGTTGTTTAAATTAATGACTGCAAAAAGTTACTTCGTTTAAGTCGTCATATTGACCCATATGTTACAATAATGTCAAAGTTTAGGGGTTTTTAGGAAATAAAATTTACAGTATTAAAAACACCCCACTTATCGAAACAAAATTCCCAGCAAAAAAAAAGATTATAGTGGTATTAAACGCAACGTGGTAAAGCCACTAACATTTCTGATGAGGTTTTCAGCACCAGCCGTCGTTTTCTAGAAGAGAACGTGAATGACAATATGTGATTTACAGAAAGCAATCTTACCAATATTATAAAAGTTTAAATAGATGGATGAATTCATTAGAGTTTGTAGCCTAAACGGCTGAAAGATCTCTATGAAATTTGGCATACACGTAGAGGATAAGCTGGAAGACACATAGGCTACTAACATTTGTTTTTTCTTTTAATTCCCCGCAGACGGAGTCGCGGGCAAAAGCTATTTCGATGGTAAATAAATGGATATGGACAATTGGGCGACCACTAGTTAATTTACAAATTTGCATTCAAAGCTGAGCGTGTATCCAATTCGGTCAGCATCATAATGCTTATTATAATCTTTTATTTAATTACACTTTTTTTTCCTACTTAAATACTAAGTCATGTTTGTTTTTCTCTTGTTACTTCTGATTGTGTTGTTGTGTTAAGGATTTATTGTTACTTTATTTAAATCGTAAAAATATAACTATCAATAAATCACTGGGTTAACAGACTTTTAACATCTGGGCGAGTACGTACATTATCAACTAGCTTATCACTAACGTTTGTTGAGAATTGAACTGTTACTTTTAACGTAACAAATGTTTTAGTAATGTAAAATTTAGATTCGTACCCATGTTATTATGGCAGTAATTTAATTAAAGATCTTACTAATATTGTAATTACGAAAGTTTAGATCGATGGATGTTTATTAGAGTTTGTAGCCTAAACTGCTGAACGTATCTCTATTAAAGTTGGCATAGATGTAGATGATAGTATGAAAAAACACATAGACTACTTACTTTATTTTTTAATACCACGCAGACGGAGTTGCCTGCGAAAACTAGTAATGAATGAATTGCTGTATGTGAAATGAATTGTAGAATCATTGGGTATTATAAAACAGTATCCATTTCTTTCGTTAGGTACATTTTGTTGTTGAAAGTATATTTTTTAATAACTAGAAATTTAGTTACAATGAAGTCTAGATGAAGATCTAACAGTGGAAGTAGTAAGAAAGATCTGTAATGTAAGAAATATAATGTAATGTAAGAAATATAAAAATGTAAGAATTGTTTGTTATATTGTAACAATAATATTTATTGGTTATACAAAATTACAAGATAGAAATTTTATGAATACAAAAATGAAGATCTAAGGTTTAAATGGGTTACATAATGGATAATCAGAAACAAATGGCAAGAACGAATTAAATGTAAGTATTTTTTAACAAATAAGGAAATTCTTTGACCGCAATTTTAACACTAAGCGATGATTACGTTAAGATAATTAACGTTTTTTATAAATGTATGTGCGTCATAAATAGAAATAATATGTATAAACTTTTTATGCGTAAGCAACATCATTAGATTGCGAAGTTCGCCAAAATGGTATACACATATTTCAAATATTGTAAAGTAGAAACTGATAGTCTTGAGTAGCGTAAACGATATACGCCTCATATGTGTCTCATCTTTGACCAAGATAATGGATCATTCCAAATGCGGACAAAAGCATCAAACAAAGCATGATTATCAACCTATGATCGTCTACAAAGAAAGCATACTATTACATCATTTACCGTAACATTTTGTTTAAATTTTAATTCTAGAAGAAGACTTTTCAATTTTAAATATCTCATACAATAAATGAACTACGTAATTTTATCAAACCATAAACTATTAGAAACCACAAATTTCCTATGACTTTGGTAAATACTTGTGGTTATTGCTAATAATACGTTTTATATCATTTCGTAACGAGGCTTACTCCGCCTTTGGTAAGTTTTAATTTTATAATATCATGTAAATAACAACTTTATCAACAACCAATCGCCCTTTCTATTTAGATCAATCGATGGATTTTTAAGTGTTTTAATAATTTCATCAGTATGCAGATTTAAAGCCAAGCAAGACAATGTTATCATAGAACTTATGCAAGAGTTCGCAAAACTTCGCGTCTGTCGAGAATATTCCTACTCATCGGCGTTTCTATGACGTCACGAGTATAACGTAATAAACCCCATCAGGAAGATTTAAACGTTCAACGCACTTGGGAATACCTTCATACAAAGAGGTGTATCACGACAGGAAAAAAATTAGATTAGACGCTACACTTTAAATCTTAGCCAATATTGTAAATACCACATTTCAGATTGCTTCATAACACTAGATCACAAAGTTGGATGAACAAAAAGGTTAAAATTAAAAAATAAACCTTTTGTCCCGGAAAAAGGAAAGGTTCTCGAGAACTAGATATTTTCATATCATTACTAACTTTAAATAAAAAAAAAAACGTAACCTATGTGTTCTTCCAGACTATACTCTACATCTATGCCAAATTTCATCAAGAATCGTTTAGTCGTTTAGGCTACAAACTCTAACAAACATCCAATCATCCATCTAAACTTTCGAATTTAAGGTTGAAGGGAAATGGGGCTAAATTTAGGTCTCAAGTACGCTCACCTCAGACGAAACGCGGCTGGCTTCACTTGGCGCCTGTCTTCTGTGTCGTTATGGTGTTTAACCGGGTAAGCCGGCCAATTGGAGAATCACTATTATTTTTATATGAAAAATTTCCTTTCAGTTAATTCCACTGGAATGAGGTCGCATTAAACAGCTACTTTCATATAATTGCAATGTCTTATCACTTTGGTTTCTTTCTATATAGTGGGAATTGATTATATATTTTACCCTTTACTTATCTCGTGCGTAAGTATAATTAAAAACTGATTCAGTATTTCAAATTGTGATTAAGTCATAATAAACACTACAATTTACATTGATTTGGCGTTTAATCGACTTGAACAAAGGGCAGGTATGGGGAAAGGAATTGGGGAAAGTCTGAAATAGGTATTAAGGATTAATTTAGAAATGTTAATTAACATGCAGATGCTTGAATATTTTTTCCATTTATTGTTTAGTAAAATCTCATGATGTTCGCACGAGAACGATTGTTGGGTGGTAAAATTTCATTGCCTCGCATTTGCAATAATAAATTACAAGGGTTTTCTTTTAGAGAAGCGCATGAAACGTTGTACATGTTATTAGTATAACTGCAGTAGTATTTTTAAGATTTTAATTACATACAAACTATTTCTTATAGCAAAAAATTAATATTATTTTAATATTATGAATGCGAAAGTTTAGATGGATGGACTGATGTTAGAAGGTACCTACAGAACTGCTGTCTGCTGCCAAGGATTAGAACATAATCTGGAAGAACACACAGGCTACTAAGCGTTTTACTTTCGAGATGTCGGAGTCGTAGGTAGGGTAATAGTAGGTTTAAGAATGGACTTAATTTTTGTATCATAGAGTTTTTCGTGAGACATGGTCTTGTTTTGTCACGCTTGATAGTGACGTGCTGGGTTTTTCCTAGCATCTGGCGTGTGCTGTATCGCATGTTATCTTCGAATGTTAAAGGTCAGTACGATAATAAAATAATGATAGTCTAACATTTCTGCGCAATAATGTTACAATTAAATAGAAATGCTTGTAAGTTACTTTACATGAAATATTTAAACTGTAATTTCCAGGATACCTTTGTTTAAAACTACCAGTGGACATAATCATTTTATTTTTTATTGCGAATGTTAATTATTCTAGTACGCTAATAAATAAATTTTATTTCGACAATAAACAAATTTCTGAAATCTTCCAGATTGTGACCTTTTAGCTTCGGACCTCGTTTTAAGGGTTTTATGAAACAAAAGATATAACCAGCGAGTTTTTAACAATGCAAAACTTACAGTTTTTTTTTCATAATAACTAATAGTTATAGAAAACATGTTTTTGTATAGCAACAACAGAAATAAAAAAGGTTTTATGACAAAGCTCAAGTTAAATATTATAATATATATACAAGGATCCTATGGTATCTTCTTGACATTACCAGGGTCGCCCCTGCTGGGTTTTAGTGAGCAACAATTTCCCCCTTTTCGAAATTCCCCTCTGTTGAAAACCTATTTAACTATGATGATAACTGATTTTAAACTTATGACCTGAGTTGATATAGCAGCAGATAAAACTACATGTTGACCCTTAAAAGAGTGATTTATAAATAAAATTAAAAAATATATATAAGTGTAACCTTTACTGTTTTTAATAATTGGGTAGGCGATATAGATAATATGCCCGATATTATAAGCTACCTTTTTATCTAAATATTGCGTAGACGAAGTCGCAGACAACAGCTAGTAACTATTAAAATAAAATCGATTGTAGGTACCCAATGCAAATGATAACCCCGGCATCAAATTTGAAACTTCGGGTTTAAATCAGCACATGAGATAATATTTAATCAGGAATTTAAAAAAAAAGGCGGCAGTCGCCCGTAGAGTCTCCGCTCACTCATTGGTCAAAATATGACGGTTACAAGATAACAATACAAAAATGCCAACTGCCATATTAATATAATTACAGGTTTATGTAAAAATGTATCGTCGACCTTCCGTAAGGGATAAGGGCAAGTAGATGTTGATAAAAATGTATGGCATCTACAACTATTAAACATTCGTTGTGGCCGACAACCCTAATGTGCTGTAGATAGCAATTAAACTTTCGAACATATTCAATTGTTTTTTTTTAATTATTGTTATAAAAACTATAGACGTCATAGATAGCTAAAAGCTGCCAGTATTTAATCACAGTAAAACTATTAATTGTTACGTTACTGGTTTGCAAATTTGCAACGGCTTGCCCTAATAGGTAGTTACATCCTTTTTTATCTACACTATATTTTAAAGAAGAAAGATTTGTGTTTTTGTATGTATTGAAATAACTCAAAAATTACTGGGCCGATTTTAAAAATCCTTATTACTAAATATTTTATTATTACTGATGTTGAGGTACTATTAATAAAAAAACATATTTCCGGACCACAGCGTTAAAAAATCACCGTGTTCTAACTTTTATCGGCTTACGCTGCCTAAACCGTTAGAGATATATAAAAATGATGTCTGAAACAATTGTAGATCTTAAAAATCTCTTCAGAAAAGTCCACGATGGCATACATCTATCTTTAACGTTTTTCTTGCAATAACCACTTTTTTGTTTACAAAACGAATTAAAAAACGTACGCTATTTGCGACGTTCTTTTATTTGTTCCAATATTAATCCTTATACAAATAAATGCGTTTGTCAGGAGAATTTAACCTTACTAATATTATAAATATAAAAGTTAAGATGGATGGTAGGATGTTTGTTAGAGTTACACGCTTAAACGGCTGAACGGATTTCGATGAAATTTGGTATAGATGTAGTGGATAGTCTGGAAGAACACAGGTTACTCACTTTTGTTTTTATGAATTCCACGCGTACAGATTCGCGGGCAAAAGCTAGTATAAAAATATAGGAGTTAAACATTAAAATATGCTTATTTTAGTAAACTACAACCTAAAACGTGCATGTAAGTTTGATGTAACTGGTTTTCAAATATGGGAAAAAACGTGAAGCCATTAGCAAGTAACGAAAATAAAACACTCGTATACTTAGTTCTTAGTTTACGAAGACTTTAGTAACGTGAGAAACGTTTGTGTGGACACACGTATCATGAACCAAGAATAGTCCGTTTAAAATCTTTATTATTAAAAGCATAAAGTTGTGAAAGTGCATTCGACTTTATATCTTAGTCATGTGTAGATTAAGGTGTTATTAATAAAACAGTTACTTGGGTCTGGAGTCTGCAATTTAATATAGAAGGTACTATGGAGGTAAGTAAATTAGCGTTGTTTATTACATGACAAAGGTTAAAACAATCTTGTCAGACAAGACATCAAAACAAGACAAGACGAGTAATCATTTACTATTAAGATGATATACTATTTTTTTTTATAACATAAGGTAGCAAACGAGCAAGCGGCCACCTGAATCCGCCAAAATGGCGAAGCGACCCCTGCCCATAGACATCCGCAATTGCAAATG